GACAGGCCCGGGGTAGAGTGCAGTGGCATTATCCTAGCCACTGCAGCCTCCAACTCCTGGGCTCAGGTGATCGCCCTCTCAGCCTCCCAAGTAGCTTGGACTACAGGCATGCACCACCAGTCTGGCTAATTTTTCTACTTTTAGTAGGACAGAGGTCTCACTCTTGCTCAGGCTAGTCTTGACTCCTGACCTCAGGCAATTCTCCCACTCAGCCTCCCAGAGTGCTAGGATTACAAGTGTGAGCCACCGCTCCCGACCCTGGATTCCACTGTACATTTATAGCGTAACTGTGTCTTCAAATGTAAATGCTGATCACCTGAGCACAGTAGGGAAAGTCTGACAGCTCCAAGGGGAGGATGGAGCCAGGTCAATATGAATATATTTAAATATTAATAACAGTTACACATGAACATTTTATTTCTTTTCAGTGACTTCTGGTTTGAGATCTCATGATGATCAGCATGCACTACAAAAGAGTTTCTCTTTTCATCTTTGAATGTGGAAAAAGAAACAGGTAAGGTGGGCGGTGTCATAAGTCTAGCTGTGCCCTGGGTAAACTGACACAAGGTTTGTTGACTTTGAGTGGATTGACTTCTCTTGACGTTAGTGGCCGCTGAGAATAGGAAGAAAAGCCTTACCTGCAGCTTGGAAGAAATAATCAATGTGAAAATATTCTTAGAACTATAAAGGGTATTAATTGTTTTTTAATATACTTTCCAAGTAGATATTGTTTCTCCTAGTCAACATCTCTTATTTCCCAATTCCACCTCTAGAATTGTTCTTAACCACTCTGGGTTTAAGTTTGGATACAGTTTGACTAACTCTGAGAGTAGATTATTTTTCAATTAGAGATTATTTAGCTTCTATTTACCATGCAACATTAAATATTTTCTTCCTAACTTAAAAAAAAAAAGTTAATTTAATACTGATAAAATCCAAACAGATTATTTCTGTAATAGAATATTCTTTGAGTCCTGGAGATTTTAAGCATTGTATATAGGTCTATGCCAAAGTCCTGCTTAATTAAACATACTATAATTTGGTTTTAAACTCAAAACATCCATTTTAATATTGTCCGTGGTACCTGGCCTGCATTCTCTCTATTAAGCGGATCTTTCCCGGTATTTAAGGCAAGGACTGGGACCCGGACAGTAAAGCCTTCAAATTATCTTCCAAGGCTGGAACCAAACAATAAGGCTTCACCTTATTGAGTGGTCAATATAAAATTTTTATTGTACTTAGTGGCCCCTGAAAACGTAATGTCCTCTTGCTCTCTTACCAGGCAGGTTAGAGGCTGCTAAGACAAACACGAGATCTTCTGAGCGCGCAGCCGTCCATCTGCACCAGTAACTCTGTCTTCATCCGCAGGCTTCCTTCGTGTTCTCCCCTGCAGAGAGACAAGGAGACGTCATTCACCAGGTGGCAAAGCCTTTGCCCTCACGAGACAAGGGTGGCATTGACCCAGTGACTGTAGGACAGCTTCCATTCTGATAGCTAATGGAGCCACTCACACTAGTGTTAGAGAAAACAAGCGATTTGGATTATTTTCACAGAGAGAGTAGCAAAAGGAAGCAAATGAATGTAACGATGGTATTTAAAGAAAACCAAGGTTGGCAGTGAACTACAGGATAAATGAAGGGTAAACAGTGCACTGGTAGATTAAATGCAGCCCAGCTGTGTCTACCTGCAGCATTATTTACCCCTTTAAAACATAGCATAGTTGAGAATAATCCCTCTCATTTGCATAGCATACATGAAAGTATTTTTACAAGCAGTATTTCTTTTAAGTGTATTTATAGATCTAATTGTTCAAGAGAAATGAACTACTAACTGAATCTGTTTCACTTTCTCCTAATAAGAAGCAAGATAATGACACGGAGCCTCTGCTTTCTTTGTACAGCAGATTGGAGGCAGTTTTCTGTGCAAACTTGCCCGACAAGCCCTCCACCACCATTGCCAAAGACCCTACCACCGAGGAAGAGCACACGATGAGGACCTAAACGATCCGAATTGGGTTTAAAACATGACCACATTGAGCAGACTCTCCTTCCTCTTTACTTGCATAGATCTAGTTAAAAGGACCAAAAAAATGCCTCTCTTGGATGCACAACATTCAGTTTCTCATCTGTGATGTGTGTGGTGGCAACCCAAATTAGGTATATGGTTTTTGGATCTATGCTCCATAGTACTCAGCTATCTTTTCCTAAGGGAGAATACACACTCACAGTATCATTATTATATTAATTAGCATTTGCCCATAACTATGATTCTTTAACATAATATGAGTCCAAGAGGTCTTCAGAGCACCTACCCTTACACCCCAACCCTTTGAAGATTCTAGTTTTAGAGTCTTCAAGTTCCAAACAAGGAAACTGAATTCAGGGCAAAACCTGAAACACATTCAAGGACAGTAGATGAAGGGCAGACACGGTGGCTCACACTGTTATCCCAGCACTTTGGGAAGCCAAGGTGGGAGGATTGCTTGAGGCCAGGAGTTGAAGACCAGCCTGGGTGACAGAGCAAGACCCACTCTTACAAAAAAAAAAAAAAAGAAGATAGTAGATGAAGATTTTTCAAATTAGCCCAAGTAAGGCTGTAGGAAACTCTGGGGATAGAGATTGACAAAGTGAATATAAGAAGGAGCATACAGGTCACCATGGCAAGGCAGGTGGACCTGGTCTTTGTAGAGGGAATTACTGCTAGGGAGGGCTGGTGGATTCCAGCTGTGTCCCTGTTAGGCCCAGTGTAGACAGGCAGTGTGCTCCAGCCAGGGACTGACAGCACCAGTTAAGCCATGGAAAGTGTCCCATTTCCATCAATTGCATGAATCCCGTTTTACTTGGGTACATCTTCCTGGTTGCTTTTCCCTGCTGGGAAAATGGTTTCTAATGAGTAAAATTTCATAAATTATATTCTAGTTATCCCAACAATCTAATTATTTGCCTTTTTTTTTCTTTTTTTTTTGAGACAGAGTCTCACTCTGTTGCCCAGGCTAGAGTGCCATGGCATCAGCCTAGCTCACAGCAACCTCAAACTCCTGGGCTCAAGCAATCCTCCTGCCTCCGCTTCCCAAGTAGCTGGGACTACAGGCATGTGCCACGATGCCTAGCTAATTTTTTTTCTATGTATTTTTAGTTGGCCAATTAATTTCTTTCTATTTTTAGTAGAGACGGGGTCTTGCTCTTGCTCAGGCTGGTTTCAAACTCGTGACCTTGAGCAATCCGCCCACCTCGGCCTCCCAGAGTGCTAGGATTACAGGTGTGAGCCATCGCGCCCGTACTATATATTTGCTCTTTATTACTATTAGTTCTGCCTTGATGATAGACCATTAAAGGTCATTAATAAAATGCAGCTGTGTTCAGATTGCCCAGAGATTTGATTTTTCGAGCCAGGGATGCCAAACTGAGCAAAAAGCTTCAAAGAAAAAATACCTCTGATCAAGACAGAAAGCCAGTCTTAAAAACAGACAAACAAAACCACTCCTTGGCCTTTTGGAAGCACAAACAGAAGGCTTATGACAGTCTAAGAAGTGTTCCTTCCTGCCGGGGACACTAGCTGACACTTAATCTTTACTTTCTTTTTTTTTTTTTTTTTTTAATACCATGTTGTTTTGGTTTGAATCTTTAGAGATAACATATGTGACATATTTAAAATCAGACATGTCGAGCCATAACCTGATGTGGCAGAGAAGTGGTGGCTCCCCTGGCCTCACCCACCGTCAAGGACTGGCTCCGGGGAGTGAGATGCGGCCCTTGCAAAGGGCCAAGTCGGCAAGCCCCGTTCCCCGCGGGCAGCCCTCCGGCTCCAGAGAAGGCGGTCGCAGTGGCTATTTTGAGCCAGCAGGACGGTTAGGGCAGCCTGCGATCCTGGGGCTGCATGATCTTGGGGCCTGAAAGCCACTCTGTGGGGAAGGGGGAAGGGAGGCTGACATTTCCTCCGGTTATAAAAACTACTTAAATCAGCTATTCAGTTAACAGGGTCTAATTTAAAGACCTTTCCTTGTGTCTGCAGAAAATTTGTGGGCTTATTAATAGGTTCGTTCTGCTGGTAAACGTCGATGGGCTTCCGACCATCAAACACACTTATAAGAGGGGAGAAATGATGACCAAAAAAAAAAAATCCCTGTCTGTTACCCAGGAGCCATGCCTCTCTGGCTCATCACCGACTCCAGCTCGTCCAGGAAGATCGTGGAGGGCGCGTGGTAGCGGGCAAGTTCAAATAACACCTGGGTGGGGGAAAAGCAAGCACATGTTCAAATCCATATACTTAAAGGCCTCAGATGCTCCCAGAGATGAAAAGCACAGAAATGACTGTAATAACGAGCATTTATACTGCACTCTGCTATTTCACAATAACTTTACGATCATTACAATTATTTCTCCCTACCACCACCCCATGGGGTTGGATGGTCCAATTATTTTCATTTGTCACTTGATAAAATTAGAGTCGGAAGGGTAGGATGGTGAGTTCAAGATTACTAGGGAGAGCTTAAGATAAAGCTCATTTCCAAAGCTTCCAGTTGGCTAGTTAACCCCTTAGATACCCTGCCAATAACATGCTCCATATAGCCATAGACCCTTGGGATATGCAAAATCATTTGATCAATTGTACCTTAACCTTTGGGGATAATGGGAGGGTTATTTTCAGAAGGCAGGATTGCAGAAAAAGGACAGGGTTCCAGCCATGGGTAACAAGGCTGAAGCATTTTTCCCCTTTCTGCTCCCCAAATTACTCCATAGGGCCCCCCTTGACACTGCTGCTTGGTAGGCTCAGGTACTCGAAGGCAATTGAATAAGATGTTCTATTCCAGAATGAAATAAAATATTACAGACTGAACAAGAACAGAAGAGCAACCAGCATAAGAACAGACATATAAAAACAAAATAAAGAGCTCTAAAGGGAGATGTGGTAGTGATGAAAAGAATATAACAACCTACACCTTTTTTTTTTAACCCTGAAACTGATCTCTTGAGCATCATATACAATTCTTCACTGGTTGATCGGAGAAAGCAGTAGAGATTTAGAAAAGAATAGAGATTCTTTAATAGGCATGGGGGATTTATTCTCCATGTCACTTAGCACTAGCAAAGCAACACAGAACAAATAGGAGGGGAAGGGCTCAGAAAAGGGCAGGTTGTGGTTTTCATGGGCAGCCGGCAGGTTATCCCTTACAGCTCTCCCTGTCACCGACTGGGAAATTCCTCACCTTCCCCACCGCTCGCCTGTGGGGTTCATCCAAGCTCATGTGCCAGCATTTTCCTTTCACAGAATCTTGTTTTGCTGGCACAATTGGCTCAGTCTAATGAACTGAAAGAACAATGCCAATGCTGGGACACTCATCACAAATGCCTTTTAGATACAATAGAGACCACCTAATTAGAAGCCCATGACTGGCCAGGCACGGTGGCTCACACCTGTAATCCTAGCACTCTGGGAGGCCGAGGCGGGAGGATTGCCTGAGGTCAGGAGTTCGAAACCAGCTGAGCAAGAGCAAGACCCCCGTCTCTACTATAAATAGAAAGAAATTAATTACACATGAACATCTTATGATTTCCTTTTCAGTGACTTCTGGTTTGAGATCTCAGATGATCAAGCATGCACAAAAAGAGTTTCCTCTTTTCATCTTTGAATGTGGAAAAAGAAACAGGTAAGTGGGGGTGTGTCATAAGTCTGCTGTGCCCTGGGTAAACTGACACCAAGGTTGTTGACTTTGAGTGGATTGACTCCTTGAGTTATGGCGCTGAGATAGGAAGAACAGCCTTCATGCAGCTTGAAGAATAATACATGTGAAATATTCTTAGAATACAAAGGATTATCATTGTTTTTTAATATACTTTCCAAGTAGAATATTGTTTCTCCTAGTCAACATCTTATTTCCCAATTCCAACTCTAGAATTGTTCTTAAACATCTGGGTTTAAGTTGGGTACAGTTGTAATCTGAGAGTAATATTTTCAATTGAGATTATTTACTTCTATTTACCGTGCAACATTAAAGATTTTTTCCTAACTTAAAAAAAAGTTTGTTTAATACTGATAACACCAAACAGATTATTCTGTAAGAATTTTTCTTTGAGCCCTGGAGATTTAAGCATTGTATATAGGCTATGCAAGTCCTGCTTAATTAAACATACTATATAATTTGGTTTTAAACTCAAAATCCATTTTAAATATTGTCCGTGGTAGCCTGGCCTGCATTCTGCTCTATAAGGCGGATCTTCCGGTATTTAAGGCAAGGACTGGGGACCGGACAGTAAAGCCTTCAAATTATCTTCAAGGCTGGAACCAAACAATAAGCTTCACCTTATTGAGTGGTCATATAAAATTTTTATTTGTACTTAGTGCCCTGAAAACGTAATGTCCTTCTTGCTCCTCTTACCAGTGGCAGGTTAGAGGCTGCTAAGACCAAACACGAGATCTTCTCTGAGCCGCGCCAGCCCGTCCATCTGCACCAGTAACTCTGTCTTCATCCGCAGGCTTCTTCGTGTTCTCCCCTGCAGAGAGACAAGGAGACGTCATTCACCCAGGTGGCAAGCCTTTGCCCTCACGACAAGGGTGGCTTGACCCAGTGACTGTAGGACAGCTTCCATTCTGATAGCTAATGGAGCCACTCACACTAGTGTTAGAAGAAAACAACCGATTTGGTATTATTTTCACAGAGAGAGTAGCAAAAGGAAGCAAATGAATGTAACGATGGTATTTAAAAGAAAACCAAGGTTGGCAGTGAACTAGAGGATAAATGAAGGGTAAACAGTGCACTGGTAGATTAAATGCAGCCGCGCTGTGTCTACCTGCAGCATTATTTATTTACCCCTTTAAAACATGCATAGTTGAGAATAATCCCTCTCATTTGCATAGCATACATGAAAGTATGTTTTACAAGCAGTATTTCTTTTAAGTGTAATTTATAGATCTAAATTGGTTCAAGAGAATGAATACTAACTGAAGTCTGTTTCACTTTCTCCTAATAAGAAGCAAGATAATGACATGGAGCCTCTGCTTTCTTGTACAGCAGATTGGAGGCAGTTTTCTGTGCAAACTTGTCCAACAGCCTCCACCACCATTGCCAAAGACCCTACCACCGAGGAAGAGCACACAATGAGGACCTGAACGATCCAAATTGATTTAAAACCTGACCACATTCAGCAGACTCTCCTTCTCTTTACTTGCATAGATCTAGTTAAAGGACCAAAAAAATGCCTCTCTTGGATAGCACAACATTCAGTTTCTCATCTGTGATGTGTGTGGTGCAACCCAAATTAGGTATATGGTTTTTTGGGATCTATGCTCCCTAGTACTCAGCTATCTTTTCCTAAGGGAGAATACACACTCACAGTATCATTATATATTTAATTAGCATTGCCCATAACTATGATTCTTTTAACATAATATGATCCAAGAGGTCTTCAGAGCACCTACCCTTACACCCCAACCCTTTGAAGATCTCTAGTTTTAGAGTCTTCAAGTTCCAAACAAGAAACTGAATTCAGGGCAAACCTGAAACACATTCAAGGACAGTAGATGAAGGGCAGACACGGTGGCTCACAACCTGTTATCCCAGCACTTTGGGAAGCCAAGGGGGAGGATTGCTTGAGCCAGGAGTTCAGACCAGCCTGGTGACAGAGCAAGACCCCATCTCTACAAAAAAAAAAAAAAGAAGATAGTAGATGAAGATTTTCAAATTAGCCAAGTAAGGCTGTAGGAAACTCTGGGGATAGAGATTGACAAAGTGAATATAAGAAGGGCATACCAGGTCACCATGGCAAGGCAGGTGGGGGACCTGGTCTTTGCAGAGGGAATGACTGCTAGGGAGGGCTGGTGGATTCCCAGCTGTGTCCCTGTTAGGCCCAGTGTAGACAGGCAGTGTGCTCCAGCCAGGGACTGACAGCACCAGTTAAGCCATGGAAAGTGTCCCATTTCCATCAATTGCATGAATCCGTTTTACTTGGGTACATCTTCCTGGTTGCTTTTCCCTGCTGGGAAAATGGTTTCTAATGAGTAAAATTTCATAAATTATATTCTAGTTATCCCAACAATCTAATTATTTGCCTTTTTTTTTTCTTTTTTTTTTGAGACAGAGTCTCACTCTGTTGCCCAGGCTAGAGTGCCATGGCATCAGCTAGCTCACAGCAACCTCAAACTCCTGGGCTCAAGCAATCCTCCTGCCTCCGCTTCCCAAGTAGCTGGGACTACAGGCATGCCACGAGCGTGGCTAATATTTTTCCTAATGTACAAAAAAAAAAATCATTTTTTTTTGCATTTCAGAGAAATGCAAATCAAAACAAAATACCACTTCTCATCTATTCAGATGGCTGTAACAAAAAAAGATAGATAATAACAAGTGTTGGTGAGGTCATGAAGAAATTGGAACACCCATCCTTTGCTAGTGGAAATGTGAAATGGTGCAGCCTCTTTGCAACACACTTTGGCTGTTTCTCAAATGATTAAACAGAGAGTTATCATGAGATCCAATAATTCCACTCATAAGTATAAGAACAGGCAAATCAATAAGGACATACAACAGATGAGTGGTAGCCTAGTGCTGGGGTGGGCAAAGGGGAAATGGGGTGATTTATGAGGATACAAGTTTTCTTTTGGGGTAAAGAAAAATTTTCTCAAAATTGATTGTGATGATTGCACAACCCTATAAATATACTTAAAACCATTGAATTATACACTTTAAATGGGTGAATTGTGTGTTATATCTCAATAAAGCTTTTATAAAAAAACACAAAACTAACTAAACAAACAAGTTATGTGATCATAGTGAGAAAGAGAGAGAGCAATTGCTACTGGTAATTGCTGAGGCATCATCAATCCATGACTCTAAAACTAAAAGAGAAAGAGCCCTGCTTTTCTCGTATGAACTATATTTCTGGGTAACCAAATAACCCTCCTGGATAAGGAAAAGTTCTGTTATAGGGAATAATTCCAGCTACCTATCAGAAGAAACGATAGAATCGCACCCTCAGTGAAATGACTGATTCAGGCAAACACCATCAGTGGATGCTGAAACCCCGGGCGGGAACTGTCCCCAGAGGAACCAGGCCAACACACCTGAATCCACCAATCGATCTTGGCATCACCAAAAGTGGGGCAGTAAGACATGACACACCTCTGGATTTAATGCACTGTGGTGTACACAGCATCACCTAGGAAGTATGTTTGCCAAAAAAATTCTATTGATCCTGAATCTAATGAAACTTTTAGTGCAGAGTCACGACAGGA